CAATTGGTCCAGTAGTGAGAATCTTTGTCTTCTTGACATTGAGCCTCAATCCATATTGGAGGCTACAGTCCTTGACCCGCTGCAGCAAGCGCTTCAGGTCCTTCTCGGTTTCAGCAACCAGGGTTGTGTCATCTGTATATCGTAGATTGTTGATAGATCTTCCACCAATCTTGACCCCACATTTCTCCTCATAGAGTCCAGCCTCACGGATAATCAGTTCTGCATACAGGTTGAAAAGGTATGGAGACAGGACACATCCCTGGTGTATGCCCTAACCCATCAAATAATAATACAACCCTATGACTACTTCCCCTGCCCTTCCACACCCATTTGTTCCTCCCTCCCCTTCCCTTAGATCCTCATACTTGTTTTACTAGTTATCTGTATATATTTCTGAAATAATGGTCTTATATGGTATTTGTCCTTATATGACTGAGTTATTTCACATAGCATAATGCTCTCCAGTCCATCTCAAGTTAGATAGTAGTTTTCTAAATCATTGCTCCTCCTTGCTGCATATTATTCCCTAAAATGAATGTACCATAATTTCTCAATTCTTTCATTTGTGATTGGTCCTTTGGGCTGTTTGAATGATCTTGTGATAAGTGAATAATGCTGCTATGAACACTGGTGTACAAATTTCCATTTGTGTCTGATTTCTAATTTGGGAGGAGTATATTCCATGTAGCTGTGTCATATGGAATTTCTATTTTCAGCTTTTTGAGGAAATACCAAACTGCCTTCTAGAGTGGTTGTACCATTTTGAAATCCCACCAACAATATATAAGAGTTTCTATTTTTTTTTAATAGGTGATAATGATTTAACTCTTTTACTTTTTGCTATTAGTTTCATTGTATTAATTCCAATTTAAAAATAAATTAATCTATTTAATATAGGGAAGTAACATTTTGTCAGTACTAAAAAAAAAAGTTTCTAACTCTTCATGTTCTCTCCAACATTTATTGCTTGCTGTCCTGTTAAATTTCGCCACTGCTACAGGGGTGTGATGGCATCTCCTTTTGGTTTTGATTTGCATCTCTCTTATTGCCAGTGATTTTGAGCATTTCATTTTGTATCTTAATCTGTGAAAGTTCTTTACATGTCTTTTGTTCATTTTGTAATTGAGTTATCAGTCTTTGTATGTTAGAGACTTTGTAGGATTATGTAACCTTTTAAAAGATATCCTTGTCTGAAATTGTATTGCCAAATGTTTGTGGAGTTTTGTTTTGTTTTCCCAGACAATTGGTTTTCTTTTCACTCTGTTGAGAAAAAGTTTTTGATGTGCACAGGGATTTAATCTTTAGAAGGTTCCATTCACCAATTTTATCTACTCCTAGTTCTGTATTTCTGGCTGTATTTGTCAGCCTTTTTATACCCTGAGTTAGGTCTTCTAAGCTTGGTCCTGCTTTGTCTCTTACAATCTTTATGGTTTGGGGCTTTACCTCTAGGTCTCTGATTCACATTGAGTCAATTTTTGTGTATGGTGTGAGATGTGGATCTTGCTTCAGCTTTCTACATGTAGTAGTCCAATTTTGCCAGGACCATTTGTTGAAGAAGTTATTATTTCTTCATTTGATAGGTTTTGTTTCCTTGTCAAATATCAGTTAACCATAAATAGATAGATGGGTTCTCAATTCTATTCCATTGGTCTATATGTCTGTCATTGTATAGTACAATGTTATTTTGGTTATTACTTACCTAGTAGGTTTTCAGATCAATGAATGATCCTCCTTTGTTCTTATTTTTCATAAGCGCTTTACTTATTTGAGGTCTCTTTCCTCCTCAAATAAACTTGCCAGTCGCCTTTTCTGTCTCTTTGAAAAATGAGTTTGGTATTTGTATTGGGATTTTGTTAAACATGTAGATTGCTTTTGGTAAAATTGTCATTTTTAATATATTGTCATTTTAATATATGAGTCTTCCTATCCATGAACAGGATTTTTTTTTCGGTTTTTATTGTGTCTCGCAGAAGTGTATTGTACTTTTCTTTGTAAAGGTCTTTTGCATATCCAGATAGGTTTTTTTCTTAAATAACTCAGTTTGGCTATTTTAAGTGATACTACATTCTCAATTCATTATCTGTGTTTTCTTTGATACTGTAGAGGAATCCCACTGGGTTTTTTTTTACTGATCTTGTATAGTGTCACTTGTTGGAGGCGAGGATGATGAAGATTCATCTCACATACTTCGGGCATGTTGCTAGGAGGAGTTATTCCTTGGAGAAGGACAGAACGACATGATGCTGCTTAGGTTGGAGGATTGGCAAAGGAGAGGAAGATCCTTGATCAGGTGGATTGACACAATGACTACTGTAGTGGGCTTTTATATGTCGGGAAATGTAAGGATGGCAAAGTATAGAAGAGGATTCCAATCTTTTGTTCATAGGGTTACTATAAGTTGTAATTGACCAGACAGCACTTAACAACAACAACAGTAAACAACTACATCTTGCTACTCCATTAAATTGGTGCAAGCAGGAGTGGCATCTGCTTTTGAAATAGCTTGCCTCTGGAAACTCTATGAATTTAGAGACACCATGAAAGTACAAGTGTTCAGGTCGTTTATTCATAGGGTCACAATGTGTTGTCGACACTATGGCACTTAACAACAACAACAACTCTAACAGTTTTTGTTTTTTGGGTTTTTTTGTTTGGTTGGTTTTGGTTTAGTCCTTGGAGTATTCTGTGTATACTACCATGTAATCTGCATTAGGGACAGTTTCACCATCTCTTTTCTGACCTGGATGCCTTTTATTTCCTTATCTTGTCTTATTGCCCTAGCAAGTACTTTCAATACAATATTGAAAAGGAGTTGTTATGGTGAACATCCTTTGGATATATGCTTTTACTGCTTACAGTACTCAATTAAGTCATCATCAGCCTACACTGTGTAAATAATCAAAGTGGGAACTGTGAAAATGTATTTCTTAGCTTTTTTAATCTTTAAATAACTTTTATTAATATTTTTATTAACACTTTTATTTCTATGACTCATCTAAGTTTATTTATCCTTATAGACTATAACCAAGTTGAAGAAGCATAATATTTTACATAATAATCTGGGCATTTTCTTCTGGTTTTCATTTTAAATTCTTTTGATCAAATTGACTCAGTATAAATTACTAATTTCCATAATCTTCTAATACACTATATCACATCAAGGCCATGCTTGGGAAATTTTTACTCTAATATTAAATATGTATATGAATATTTTCTTTCCAAGTTTTCTTTCAAACTTGTAATTGAAAGTAAATATCAAAATGCAGATTTAGAATCCTTAAGACTCAAACTGAATTCCATCTCAAATCTCTTTATGGCTCAACTAAGTTAGGTTATAGGTTTAGGCTGTAATGACTAAAGTCATAATCAATCATATTTTTTTCTTATTTACCATCACTGAAATTGCTGTCAGAGACAATATATTGTATGATCTAATTCTATTCTATAGAACCAAGTTTCACTAACTGTGCAAAGAACACCTATTTCCCATCAGAGTTGATTTACTTTCTCACTCTTTTTCCTGTTGACTATGATCAAATCATTGGTGACTCTGCATTGAGTTTCCAAGGCTGTAAATTACACTGGAAAGATTAATCTATACTATTGGCTTTAGGAGTGTGCTACTCAAGCATCAAGACACTTTGTAACAGACTACAAAGGAATGCAAAGATAATCTTGGAAGTATTTTGATCTTCAACTTGAAGTACCACATATACTACAAGAGAATTTCCTTATGTACTAAAAATTACAATGAGTATACTCAACAAAGTACATTCAAGATTTAAGCTGAATATTTAGAATATTCACCTAAATATTTCAAGAATTTAAAATAAATGAAAATGGTTTCTTAGGTAAGTATGAGAGCCTCATTATATTGTTGGACTATTTCTTCTTTACTTTCATGCTCTCTTGCACATCACCTGAGAGAAGAGCAGAGGTGATGTTCATTATTCTAACTTAGCTCTTTAAGTTATCATTGTTGTTATCATCATGTCAGAACAGACTCATACACAGCTGACCCTCCAGCAGATTCTCAGAGGCAGTAAATGTCATGGAGATTGCACATCTTTCTCTCTCAAAGCAGCTGATCGATCAAAGAGTATACCTTTCCATTGGCACTATATTCCTTACCAGTAAATTATTAAGAAATTAGAAACATAAACTTTTCCATTTTTATGACCTTTGAGTAATTACAAAATAATTGGAAATGAAAGAGTTGAACAAGATTAATTATATTTGAAGTATTTTCTAAATTATTTGGAACCTGAATGGAGCACTTTTTAAAAATAAGTATGCTTTAATAGATCTTTTGAGTAATGTTTACAAATTTATTAAAATCACTTATAAACTATAAAAAAAAATAAGCTATCTTTCAACTAATTTTTCTCATTCTTGCAAAAAATTATATAATCTTTGAGGAAAAGAAATCCAAATTAATTCAGAAACAGTTCAGAAACAACTATATAATTTACCAAGTTTGCACAGACTCAGAATAATTTCATTATGATTTACTAAAATATTGTCAAAATGTGAAAATTATACAAAAATAAATAATTTTTATACAGTTAATTCTCACCAGTCATAAAATCCTGTTGGCATTTGAAATAAAGTTTTATCCTTGGCATTATGTAAATTTTTTGTCACTTATGGCAATACATGATCTTCATATATTGCTCTTATAAAACTTTAAGAGAATTCCTTTTAGAGTGTCATATTATGAAGCACAACTAAAATACAAACATCATTTAGTTACACTCTCACCACAGAGTACTCATGGACTATTTACTTACAGCAAATAATTTTGTTTTGCTTCATTATAATATACTTATAAGGGCTATTTGAATTCAATAATTACAGAATATAAATTAATTTACCCAGACATCGTGTCTCAGTTCCACTCCAGAGTCCATTTGCTAAGCATTCTCTGACATGAGAACCCACAAGCGTATAACCTGTGTTACATGTAAATATGGCCGTGGCTCCATAAACGGTCAATGTTCCAATCTTGTTACCATTTGGAGGAAAAGACAGACTTCCACATGAAATAACTAAAAGAGGAAACACAGTGATAAAAATAATATTATTTCAGATCTTTGGATTATTTTCATCATGTTTAAAAATAATAAAACCTTCACTCCTGAGTTTCATTTAAGAACATGTAACACAGGGTAGCTCTGGTGGCCTAATGACAAGAAACTCTGCTGCAATCCTGAAGGCATGTGGTTCTAATCCACCAGATGCTTCACTGGAAAAGGAGGGACAACCTCCTCCTGTACCAGTCAGATCTGATTAGACAGTACACACAAACAAAAAATAATAAAAATAATAGGAAAAGAAGAAACACATAACAGAAATGTCTAAAGAAGGCTGCACAAATCAATAATCAGGAAAACTTAAGTTCCCTTCCATTATTCCCTAAAAATTAAAATTTAAAAAATTTTCATAGAGTAGATAATATAATAGTTTCTGTCAAGAATTAATAGCTCTCCTCTCACAGATAGCCAATAAAGCTTTCTTAAGATTATGTATCCAAACAATATACAAACATGTATACATAAATAAAACCAATTGGCCATTTAGTTCCCTATTTACCAATTAAAAAATAATCTCTAATTTAAAAAAAAAATTCTACATAAACTTTCATGGGATTAAGAAATATTTTCTTCCTATAATCAAACAGGTGTTTAAAGTAATGTGTTATCAAAACCTAAGACTTCTGATTTTGATAAAGTCACTAAATTTTGGTCTCATCTATTTAATTACATACATGCTGGTATAAATAATTTCATTAAAATATTGAGTGTATCAGGTTGTATATTTCTGAAATATAGAAAAATAAAGATAAAATTATACCTTTAGTGATTATATACTAGTTATTCACAGGATGACCATATGACCCAAGAATACACATATGCCCGTATAATTATTAATAACCTTGACTTTCTGTCATTAAGCTGCTATAGTTTGGAAGATAAATTTTATTATCGTCCTTTTTATAGAACATATGACACTGTCTAAATCTCTGCGTATCAAATTCATAAATCTCTTCAAATAAAATTAAAGGATCTCATCAGAGGAAAAAAAATCAACTCATTGAGTCCAGTGATCATTAGAGGCTTTAAATGTGTTTTAAACAGGTGAAAATTAAAGTGTTAGAAAGTTATTCTGAGCTGAGTGCTAAAGTGTTCTTTTAACACTAAATGAATTATTATGTGTAAAATGCTTAGGGCAAAGCTGGCAAGTAGCTAAAAATTACTGAATCCTTATTAATATTAAAGAGATAAGAGGCACTAAAACACAGTGATTAAGAACATAGATTCTGACCTCAGGCTACTTGGATTCAATCCTGACTATACTAGTTACTGGCTCAGTGATGCTGGCCAACTATCTAAAACTGTTAAGATAGAAAATAGGAAGATACACTTCTTATTCATCTTTTAAGAGTTTCTGATGATGAGAATCATTGGTATTCAATTCCTCAAACCTGTTCTTAAGATGATTCTTACATTCAACTGAGATAGATTCAAGGTCATCTTTTGGTTCTTGTGGACTAGTTTTAATTTTCTTCAGCTTCTATTTATACTTGCAGATCAGAAGTTGATGATCTGTTCCTCAATTGGTATTTCATCTGGTTTTAACTTCTGATAATGTCCTTCTCAAATTATTCCTTCTGTAAGTGTAGTAAATCTGATTCCTGTACAGTCCATCAAGTGACGTCCATGTATAAAGTCACCACTTATTTTTTTATGATTTATGAATAAATCATTGAGTGCCCATTGCAAACTTGATAATGCTACTTCCAGCCTCATTTTTTTCACTAAGTCTATACTCTGACTACCATTCCTTTTTCATTTTTCCAAACTTTTGAATTCCAGTCAACAATGATGACTAACACATTTCAATTTCATAGTTAGTCAACTTCAAATTGTAAAACCTGATAGAAACCTACAATCTTTTCATCATTGGTTTTAGCTGTTCATGCATATGTTGAATAATAGTGGTATTAACAAGTCTTCTTTATATGCCTTTGAATAGTATCTTATCACTCACAGCTTTGTACATCAGGACAGATCATGTAAGTCCTTTTTAACTATGAAAGCAAGACCATTCTTAAACAGTTTTTAATTCCCAGTATAATAGATTATATGATTCTTTCAATCAAAATAGCCCATGCTAGTCAATCTCCATTCACTGATGCCTAGAACTGTGAAAGGCAAGCAGAGATATCATCCATGAAGACATCAAAGATCATTAAAAAGAAGGGGGGGAATAAAAATCCAAAATTAATGTAGAAGAGATCATGAAAATTGCATTAGAACATCAAGAAACCAAAACAAAAGAAAAAAGACGTTGGAGTAAAAAATCTCTATAGCAGATTTCAAAGGGAAGCTCAAAAAGATAAAGCAATATATTATAAATAAATTTGCAAAGATCTGGAGTCAGAAAATAAAAATGAATAACTATTGGCATTCCCTCAAGCTGAAAGAACTGAAAAATAAATTTAAGCCTAAAGTTGCATTACAGACAGAAGCTATGGGCAAGATCTTGAAGGACACAGGAAGCATCAAAAGAATATGAAAGAATACACAGAACCACTTTACCAAACCATTAGATGGAATTGAAACATGCCAGGAACTACAAAATTAACAAGAGCAAATGGCTATGAAGGATAAAATTCAAGCTGCACTGGTGGCAATGGTAACCAAATTAGAATCCAGGAACTGATGGAATACATTAGCATGTTTCAACTAACAGATGCATCCTTGGATGTGCTCAACAGTTTATGCCAGGAAATTTGGAGGACAGCAGCTTGGCTGACTGACTGGAAGAGATCCATATTTTCCTCATTCCCAAGAAAGGTTATCTGACACAATGTGGAAATTATCAAATACCATTAATATTACATGCAATAAAATAATTTTTAAAACTATCAAAAATGACTAGAATATTAACATGGAACTGCCAGAAGTTCAAGTTGGATTTATAAGAGATCATGGTACCATGGATATCATTGGGGGTGTCAGATGTATTCTGCTGAGAGCAGAGAATACATGAAGAATCCACATCAGTGTTTTATTTACCATGCAAAGACATTTAACCTTGTGACTCATAACAAATTATGGATAGGATTGAGAAGAATGGGAAATCTTTATCTAGATTAAGAAACTATTTTCTGAATAGCAAGGGAACACTAGATTTAAAATCAATAGCAGCGTGTGTGAGGGTTGTATCTTTCCTCCATACCTATTCAATCTGTGTGCTGAGCAAATAAGTCATGAAGTGGCCTCTATGAAGGGAAAAGTGCTTTTATAATTTGTTCTGCTAAGATTAATAGCAGCCTATTTATGATAAGCCTCTTATCAATGTAATCCCAAATGCTTAAGGCACTATATAAACCCATAATTTCTATTAACAGCTCCATCTGTGGCAAGAAACTCTGCTACATTTCTGAAGGCCTTTGGTTCAAGGCCACCGGCTGCTCTGCTGGACAAGGATGGATAATCTCTTCCTGTGAGATTAACTGTGTTTGAAAACCTGCTGGGATGTCAGCTATAGGTAGGTTCCAACTCTACGATACACAGCAAAAACAACAAACTGTTGAATTGGACAGATCTATTATAAGGAGTCTTTCCAAAATCCTGAAGAGTAATGATCTAAGTTGGAAGACTAAGTTGAATCTAATGCAAGTCAAGCCATAGTTTTCTCAATCACCAGCTATAAATCAGAGAGAGGACAATGAATAAAGAAAACAGAAAAGAATTATTGCCTTTGAGTTGTGGTGCTGGAGAAGAGAGATGAATATCCCATGGATTAACAAAATAACAAAAAGATAATGCCTTTGGGAAAGTGCAGCCAGAGTACTCTTTGGAGGTAAAGATGGTGAAACTTTATCACTCATACTTTGGACATGTAGGTAGTCAAGGCTAGTCCTTAGAAAAGGACATAACTCTTGGGAGGATGGAGGGCCAGTGAAATAAAGGAAGAACACGAACAAGATGGACTCACATAGTGACTTGAGTAAAGGGCTCTAATATGTTAGAGTTGATGAGGATGCTATAGGATAAGATACGGTTCAGGCTGACTGTTTATACAGTCGTTATGAGTCATACTCAACTCATCATACCTAACAACAACAGTGATGAGGATGGCTCAGAATAGGACAGGCTTCTAGTTTGCTGCTTACAGGGTCATTTTGAGTCATACTTGACTGGATGGCATTAAACACCAATAACAACAGAATAGGGTTGTGACATAGGCTGTGAAGAAGACCAATGAGATTATACGTAAAGCATTTAAACAATGTCTTTTTTTGAGTTTAAACAATGTCTTAAGCAGGGTTCATTAGGTATTAACTAATGTTGAAGTAATACTTCAAGAACTCATTTGCAGATAGAAACAGTAGCAGGCAAATCTTTACTAATTCTAGTGAAGAAAAAAAAATTCATTAGCCATCTAGAAGAACAATTTAAATTAAATAAATTTCCTCCTGAAATATGAGAATGCACATTACATTAACAATGGACAGCCCAAACAAGGCTGTATGGAGAAAATCACAAGTCCATCCTAGAGTTGCTGTTGTGTGCCATCAAGTTAAAAACCCATCACTAACCTTTCAGCAGATTTTCAAAGACAAGAGTAATACTGAAAGAGATTGTCTATCTTTCTTCTGTGGAGCAGGTGGTAGATTTGAACCACATGCCTTCAGGATTGCAGCACAGGTTCCTACCACTATGCCAACAGAGTGAGAGGATTTAGCATCAAAAAGTTGCAGCTGCTGCTGCAAGAGCTTCTGCAACTTATTAGTTTCTGTGATAATTATATAGAGACACACATTATGCATTTAGTAATATTGTAAAAAAATGTTTGCATTACCAAATGTCAATGGATTTACACAGGACTTGGATTTTCAGTTTGTTATGGACTTTTTATTAATCCGTTCTTCAAACATGGTATAAATTTCACCTCAAACTATGATATTTAAATATCTATTTTTAGCCATTTGAGATAATTGGATATTTTAGTGTTCAGAAATATGTGAAATAACAAT